AGCTGTCCTGCTCTGCCCTGAGTCTGGTGTGGCCAGGGCCCAACCAGCTCTCCAAAGGGGGGCCGCCTACTAGGAAGAGGGGTCCCCACACCTACCACATCCCATGCCAGACCCCTCCCCAGAGCACACTGGCCCTGCCGGTCCTGAGAGCCGCTGCCCAGCCTGGGCTTCAGGAGCCCCTCAGGGGACCCTCGGGCTCCCTGCACAGGTGGCTTGCGCCCAGGCACCCAGAGCCTCCGCCAAGGACAGGGGCGGCCAGGCAGCGCCCCAGGCCCCGCACACAACAGCGTGGGGCTCAAGGGCAGCTCTGGGGGCACCCTGCTGCCCGTGTGGTTTGGGGGCAGGAGGCCCAGTGGGAAGCTGCAGCGTCCAACCTGGCAGGAGGGCAAGAGGGCAAGAGGGCAGGAAGGCAGCGCAGTCCTGGGCCAGTGGAGCAGGCTGGGCAGTCAAACCCATCCGAGGGTGGAGTGAGATGAGCCCCCGGGGCCAGGGAGGAAGCCGAGGGTCTCCTTCCCCACTCCCTCCAACGGTGAGGTTGTCAGAGGCAGGGATGGCAGAGGAGGGCTGTGTCAGTGGACGTCAGAGGAGCCTGGGGTGCGGGGTGGGACGTGGGAAATGCCTGAGTCCAGAGAGCCACATCCTGAGCCGCTTCCCCTCCAGGACCTTCCAACACAGCCACTCACAGGTCCAAGGCCCCGGGTGTGCCAGCACCGGGCAGGCAGTGGACATGCCACGCAGTGAGAGACGAGGCCTCCCCAGACCTGCGGGTCAGGAAGGAGGCCCTGACAGCACCCAGGAAGCCGTCAGCATCAGTCTCTCCCTGACTCCCTCAGCCCCCAGGCCTCAGGCCCTGAAGCTCTGGGGCAGGCCTGGCTGGGGCCTGGTCCACCCCTCACCTTCCGAGCTCGGCCTGAGGTGTCTTCCCGAGGGCAGCCTTCCTGACCCAGCTCCCTCCCTCCACGGGCTGCACCTCTGTGCTCTGTCACGCAGGTATCCTAGTGACGTGATGCAGGGCTTGCGCAGCCCTAGGTCAAGGCCCCGTCCAGTTTGTTCTCTATGGTACCCAGCGCAGGTACGCAGTGGGCACGGTTTGTTGAATGAATGAATAAACAGCATCCACACAATCTCCAGGTCAGAGTCCAGGCAGAGCCCTGGGCATCCCAAGTCCCTGTGAACAGAGTGTCCACAGTGACCACCCAGACAGTAGGAAGCAGCCCTGATCTCGTGCTATGTGGCTATCTAGGGCCCTTCTTTAATGCACAGCACTGTGATGCTTCTGTCACTCTTAGAGGGACTTCACAAAGAAACAAACACGAATCAGAAAAATTTCTGGGCAGACATGAAGCTCGCGAGCAATCATATTGACTGGGATCTGTGAGTCTCGCCCCCGCCTTACTCCTCTGCCCACTGCCCAGACCGCCCTGGGGAGCTGTGGGCACAGGAGGGCTCAGGGACACAGGAGGGCTCCTACCTGCCCCTGGAATTCCACACAGGGCTGGGCCTCCTCACATCACCAGGAGTAAGTGACCAAGTGCAGGGGCCAGTGGCCACAGCAATGGCCCAGCAGGCCAGTGTGGGTCTGGGACACAGAACCTCTTGTGCATCCAGGACACATGGGGACTGAATGGATGGTAGCCCCCAAATGAGGTCCCCTGGGAGCCTGTGAACGTGGCTTTATTCAGAAAAAGGGTCTCTGGAGACAGAATTAAGGATCTGGAGATGTGATGATCCCTGGTCACCCAGTGGGTCCCAAATCCACGAGTGTCCTTATAAGAAATAGGGGCATTAGGGACAGGGGAGCGGCTGTGTGACAAGGAAGAGGCTGGAGTGAGGAGGCTACCAGCCAAGGAGTGCTGAAGATGTCACCAGCAGCCGGGAGAGTTGCAGAGCAGATGCCCCCGAGCTCTGGAGCGGCCAGCCCCGCGCACCTTGACCTGCACTCTGGCCTCCAGAGCTGGGAAGAGCAAGCTCCTGAGTGAGCCACCAGGAAATCCCACAGGGACCACAGGGACCAAAGAGCAGGTCAGAGCAGGTCAGAGCAGGAAGACAGCGCGGAGGGCCCTAGGGGAACCTGTCACCCTGGAGCTGAGAGCCAAGCCGGAGAGCTCCGCGCAGGCAGGAAGCGGTGGCCACAGCGCCCATCCAGGCCAGGATGCCAACTCCCCGGGGGCTCATAGATGAGGGGCCACAAAGCAAGGACAGAAGGGACAGGGAAGCACAGACTCCAGGCACCTCCAGCTACCTGCCGGTCCACGGCAGAGGGCCCACCCTGACGGGAGCAGAGCCCAGCTGTGCCCCTCTGCACTGGCCAAATACCCACCAGCAGAACACCCAGGGCCAGGGCGGCCGGGCAGCTCCAGGACGCTGTGCCAGCATGGTGACCGCACAGCGACTTCGTGGCTACGCAGCCTCCCCCGGGGCCGCTCCCACCCTCCCGAGGCCCCCTGAGCAGCAGCTCCCAGGGGAAGTCCCCTTCTTGGAGACGCTCTCCCTACTGAAGTACAAGCTCTTGGAACAAGATAAAACTGCTTAATTTGTGAAAGCCACAAAGCCAGTCCAGAACAAGAAATCCCGACCTTGGCTGGAGGAATGGCCTTCTGTGCCTCGGCAGCCTGTCCCTGCTCCATGACTCACACCCCGCTGACAAGCAGGCAGCATCTTCCAGGGGAGTGAGGGGAGAGAGGAAGAAAGAGGAAGCAGATCCAAGGGCCACTGGCATCTGCAGAAGTCCCTTCCCTGAGGCTGGGCAGACCACCGTGGACCCACCAGGACAGGAGCAGGCCACCACCACCCCCAGACAGCGGCTGGGCAGCCAGGCTGGACCCAACAGCCAGGGGTGTGAGCAGCAGCGTCCACAGCTGTGTCTAGGGATCGGCAGGTGGGGCACCCAGCAGGACAGGCCTCTGACCACACATGCACTCACCGTTGCCCCCAGCCCCATGGCCCATTGGATCACTGGTAAGGACGAAAGGAGCTGTCACCACTGATGGTGGGACAAAGGGGCACAAGCCAGAGGGCCCAGCGCCCAGGAAGGCAGAGAGGAAGGGATGCCACCTAGGGGCCTCATGGGTACCTCCTCAAGGTCACCCAGCAGGGACTGGACAAGAGCTTGCCCAGAAACCGGAGCCAAGAGCTCAGCCAAGGACCACAGGGGAGGCCTGGCGGCCTGCAAAGCATGCTGGGAGACAGCTCTGGGTCCTCCTCCCGGCTCCTAGTGCCGGTTTACAACGGGGTTTCAGGAGCGGGGAAAAAAAGAAAGGGAAAAAATTATTTTTAAAATAAAAACACATCCAAACAGGGATTGTGCTCTGCCATTCAGATCCCCAGGTAGTCGCCCAGTGGGGTCCGGCATGGTCATCTATAAAATGAAAGCTGAGGTGGGGTGTGGCTCACGGGTAGAGCACTTGCCCAGCATCCCCAGGGCCTGGAGTGTGATCCGCAGCGTGACTAAATAAATAAATAAATAAAGGCTGGACCAGAGGCCCCCTCCCAGCCAGAACATTGGAGTGACCTGTCCTCCGGAGCTGCAGCTGAGGAGGCAGAGAGGTCCATTCTCCGGGCAGCCTGTGGGAGGTGGCCTGCTCTGGGGTCAGCTCCACATCCCACGCCCAGGCCTAGAGAGGGTCTCTCCCAGTGTCCCCTGCCCCAGTCCCTGCAGATGGCCCAGGGCACCCGGGCTCTGCACCTATGCCTGACCTCAAGCAGGACCAGCAGGGCTGCACTTTCACAGCCGGCCATCCTCCTGCAGGTCTCTGGCTGCCCACCTCCAGGGCTCCGTCTACCACGCCTATTATTATGTGCCCCAAAATACTGCACGTTCCCCACTCCCCACGGCAGGATCCTCCCGGCCGGCCTCTCAGAGCTGCCCAGCCAATTCTGACACTGCCTCAAGAGTGGCAGGGGAGGATCCAATCCTTCCAAACGGCCACTGAGGGGTCTTTTTTTTTTTTTTAAATATTTATTTTTTAGTTTTCAGCGGACACAACATCTTTGTTTGTATGTGGTGCTGAGGATCGAACCCGGACTGCATGCATGCCAGGCGAGCGCGCTACCGCTTGAGCCACATCCCCAGCTCCACTGAGGGGTCTTTTAGGGACCCCCTGCACACACAGGATCCCCAACACAACGACAGACCAGGGCCACGGGCACTTATGGGATGGCGTTCTTAGGCTGAGCATGACCAGGGCACCTCAGGACACCAGGAGCCGGGAGCGCGGCGCACACCTGAGGATTCTGCACCCGCGGGCGACCCCTGGCACCCGGCTCAGAGGGGTGCGCCCACGCGTGGGCACAGTCTCCAGCGCATCCCGAGGAGCGCAGCCCTGCTCGCCGCGCCACGGCACTTCCAGGGCTCGGCCTGGAAATCGGGTTTCCTCACTGGGGAGGCCAAAGCAGGAGGCGCCTCCCTTTCATTTATCCACTCACGCCCCGCCCCACGGCCCGTGCCTGCTGGGGGTCCGCGGGAGCCACATGTGCACGTGCGCATGCACACGAGAGCGCACACATGCGCGCGCGCACGCCTCCTCCGAGCGCCGGGAGCCTCCACCTCTATAATCAACTGCCAGGGAGGCCCAGAAAAGCTATTTCGGGGAGGAGACCAAGACAGCCTTGAAGACAGACTTCGGTTGGCAGCAAGAACACAAACCACACAGTGGACAAACAGGCCTGGCGGCGCCCACCCCGAGCGCCACTGCAGGCCCCCACCCTTGCCCGGGCCTTGGTGCCCACATCACCGTGGACGCAGATGCAAAACTGGCACGTTGGAAAATGAAAGAGAAATTGCAAGGAGAGAGGAGAGCCGAGCTTAAATAAAAGCCAGACTTGGAAGCGCTTAGGTTTGGGAGAAACATTCCACCCCACGAACTGAGAACAGTCAAAAGGAAAATATTTCTCCAAAAATGAGTAAAAGTGACCCTTGGGTGCTTATTTCCCGCAGCATCAATAGAGCCCAGTCCGGGGAACTGGGAGGGGGAGTGGGGCGAGGAGGGCCCTCTGCCTACCTGTGATCCGGTCCCTCTCCATTCCTACGGGTATATTTAGCAGCAGGCGGGAGTCCCAGCGGCCCTGGTTCAGAGGCAGGCGTCCTCCCCTTTCTCACCCGTCCGTCGCCCTCCCTCTCTCTGCCTCCTCCTCCTCCTCCTCCAAAAACACTCTTTGTCTGGTCTAATTTCTTCAATCTGTTGCAATCACGAATGCATCCAAATTACCACATTTCCATGTGCTGATCATATGTTTGTGCTCCAAACTGAAGTAGCATTGTCTCTTCAAAACAGGAGGGAAAGGCAGCGAGGAGAGAGACGGGAGGGGGGAAGCTGGGGAGAGGAGGCCAGAGGTGGGTCCGGAGGGATCCCGCCGCGCCCAGGGTCCTCCTGCGCGAGGACCGGCCGCCTGGCCTTCGGAGCGGTGGCTTCAGCCGTCCAGCGTCCAGCTTCCGGCGGCGGCGTCCTCTCTCCACCCCCTCCAGCCCCCGCCGCCCTGAGCCTCGCTGCTTCTTTTTAATATCCACTTGGAGATGCTTAACTTAGGCTCTTGGAAACCAACTCGCAGAGTCAAATTCCTGGCGACTTCCAAAGTCTTTCATTTTCCCCGTCCGGCGATGCCGCGATTTCCTGGGGTTTAAGTGTTTAAAAAGCCCAGTTCCTGCTGCCTGCCTCGCCTGCCTCTGGCCCCACTGGCCCGGCCCTTCCTTGGCACCCCGACTGGGCTGGCTGGGAGATGGCCACCTCCCCAGGCATGCGAGCTGGGAGAAGGTTCCAGAGCACCTGCCCAGGATGAACCCTACGAAGGTGCCCTATGCCGCCAGCCTCTGTGTCAGAGGGAGCTGCCGTCCCCACCCCAGCAGAGGCTTCCTGGAAGATTCCTACCACAGAGCATGAGTCAGTAAGTCTGGGCAGTCCCCTGGGAGGGAGCAAGTCCTCTTGTTGCTCATTTCCCCAGACTCCTCGGCTCCCAGGGGGTGGGCAGCTCCCTGCCTTTTCCCACTGGAGTTCCAGGGGCTGCTCACCTGGAACCTCGGGGTCCCCACCAGCACCTGGTCAGTGCCTTGGGGGCAGGGTGGAGGAATTGGGCAGAGCAGGTAAGTCCCCGGTGGGGTAGAGTCATCCCCACCGCAAGGGTCCCTGCAAAACTGAGGCAGAGATAGGTTTTGCTTTCTCATTTCTGTTTAAAGGAAATGGATATTTGTGTCAGTGTTAAACTGAGGCTACTTCCCTAAAAGCTCCAGATTTTTAGCTTCTCTTGACAAAGTGAGGGGATGTGGTCAGACAGGGGCACTTCCTTCCTGGCCTGAAGACTGCAGTCCTCCCTTGGCATCTGCTCCAGTCCCCAAGGTCTCTTACACATTCTCACTAGGTGCCTGCCCCCCAGAGGCTTCCAAATTTACAATCCCTGCCTCAGCACAGGTGAGTTATGCGTGGCCAGGTAAGGCTCCGGTATCGGTATTGTTTTCAGCTGGACGACAGAGCCAAAGGCCCTGATGTGTCACTGACACTTTGCCACCTGACCCCCTCCCTGCCTGGGACAGGACCCCCCAATGCACTGGCCTACAGCAAGGGCATTTCTTGCAGGATTCGGGGGTGGGGGTATAACCTCCAGCCTCCTGGGAGACACGGAATAGCAACTGCCCCCTCCCAAGGAGCTTGAAGGGCAGCCCCACAGGACAGTCTGCACACAGAGAAGGTGGGGACAGTGTCTTGGTCACGGCAATGGGCTGAATAAGGGCCCTAGATCCTAGAACCCGCAACTGTGACCAATTTGGAAAAGGGTCTCTGTAGGTGTGACTAAGTGAAGGATGGGGACATGACCCTGGATCACCCAGGTGGACCCTAAAGGCCATCACGCGTGCCCATGTAAGAGGGAGCTGTAGCTGCACGGAGCAGGACAGGGAACGTGGAGAGAGAGGGTGAGACTCCGCCTGAAGGCTGGGAGAGCCTGAGCCACCGGAGGCTGGGAGAGGCCCCGGGGCCTCCCCTGGCCTCTGGAGGGAGCCCAGGTTTGCAGACAACTCGATTCAGACCAGCGAAGCTCAGGTCAGAGGCGGTGCCTCCAGAGCCCTGGGAGGGCACGGCCGCAGAGTTTTAGCCCTCCCAGTTTGGGGGAGCTCGCTACAGCAGCCATGGAACCCCCAGCCAGCACCCCAGAAGGATCGAGAGGCACGTTCGCTGTAGCTGTTTTCTGTTACTCAACCTCTAAAACACTGTCACCCGCCAGGGACCATCGCTGACAGAGCAGTGAGAATCGCGGGGGCCTGGGGGTGAGCTGTGTACTCCTCTGACTCTGAAAAAATTTCTGCTTTTTTCTCCGATTACAACTGTAATGTCTGTTCGTTGTATTAAGTTTAGAAACCACAGAAAAAGTACAAAGAAGCCCTGTTAATCCCACACCAGCCTCTCCAGCACCGTGTCCCTCCTGCAGGCAAGCCAGGAAGGCCCGGGAGGCCACCGGCCTGGCCAGCTGGTGGAAACGGGGGGGAGTGGCCACGGCCAGGGCTGTGCCCGCTCTGGGTTCACTGCTGTGGTCTGTGCAGGGCCCAGCTCAGCCTTGACCCTCAGTTCTCCATGGCATAGTTGAGCTCAAGGTCTGTTTCTCCTCTGTGCCTAAAAATGCATGCATTCTGGCCCAAGCAGGGGACGACGTGAAACCAAAAGCCCGTCGGCGCCCATTGGCTCCGAGGAGGCCTGAGTTAGTCACGAGCCAGCTCTGAGCAGGGTGCGGAGGTAAGGCCAGGCTGCAAGGAGAAACGAGGCTCCCGCCCACTGCCTGTGGTGTCCAGGGCTCAGGTGGGCAGCCTTCCAGGCAGCCCAAGTCCCAGGAGTGGGTCCCACATGGTCCGCCCTCGGGGGGACAGTGAGGAGGTTTCTGGGGCTGTGTAACCCCTTACCCCCCCGTCTCACACTCCCCGGGCAATGACAGCGTATTAGGCACAGTGAGGCGTCCAGGACAGCTCAGTTTCCCAAGTGGACCTGGCTTGGCGCTCCGGGGAGGCAGGGCCCTGGGGCCATAGCTCTGGGAACTCGCTGTGCCAGCCACAAGCCCCAGCTCCCACCCCCTGGCCTGCCCATAGTCAGGGTGCTGTCACCAACAGCCCCTTCCAGAAGATTCTCAAGCAGCACCTCAGTCCTCACCTCACATCAGGACACCCCTGGTGGCTTTGCAGGGTCACTGTCACAGTTCTCAGACCCTCCTAACTGCAGAGTGGAGCTCGCCGGCACAGAGCCCACTTGGAGAAGCAGCCAGGGGCCCGAGGAGGGTAAAGAGGGACGGTGAGGACCACTTCGCCTCTTAGACATGGCCGGGCCCCAGGGCAGCCAGAACCCGCAGGTAAGAACGAGGGCCCCACTCACTCTGCTTGGACCCTGCTCAGGGTGAGCAACAGAATTAAGGCCAGCGGCCGCCCCTCACTCCAGCAGGGCCTGGGGACCAGCTGCTCTGTCAAGGCTCCTCAGATGCTCCCTCTGTTAGGGAATCATCCATGGTTGTCCCTCCCTCCTGACCTGCCCCCAAATGCAGCTGGACCCTCAGGGACAGTGCTCCATGGGAGCCTTCTCGGTTTGACTGTCTTCCTTAGTGGAAATTCATGCCCCAGCCTGCAAGGATGCGCAGATTGAGCCCATGTTCCCCGTGGGGCAAAAGGAAAAGGGACGGTCACTTCTCTGCCCCACCCACCTCTCACACATCCGGCCCAGCAGTGGGTTCAGTTCTCTCGCCCCAAGCACAACTCTCGAGCACCACAGCCTCACCTTAGTCCCCTCCAGAAAGCACATGGCATGACCCTGCTCCCGCTGAGAGGGGACAGAAACTGTGAGGTGTCCCCAGGGTGGCCTGAGCTGTCAACAGCATCCAGGAGGCCCTGGGGCTGGCCCAGCTATCTGACTCTGACGTGGGCAGCAGCGGCCCCGACATCAAGCTGGCAGGGTGGTGCCACCTTGCTCCTGGTGCACACCTGGGGAGGGTCCTGCAGGAGTGGGGAGAGGATCTGCTGAAAGCCCACTTTCTAATGCTCTGGGCTCAGATTTTCTGCCACCTGCCATGCCCCCCTCCCTAATGCAGGGACTTGGGAACCTTCCCGGTGAGTGCCAGCTACAGGGACATGCAGGCTCACTTTAAACAGTGACTTCTCCGAGCCAGGTGCTGCAGCCCATGCCTGGAATCTTGCTGACTTGGGAAGCTGAGGCAGGAGGACCGCAGATTTGAGGTGAGCCTCTGCAACTTAGGAGACGCTCTCTCAAAATAGAGTAAAATAAAAAGGGCCGAGGTGGCCGTTCAGCAGTGAAGTACCCTGGGTTTAATGCCTAACACCAAAAATAAATAAATAAAATAAACGGCTCTTCTGTTCATTTCCTGCTTTTTCCCAAACTCGCCCACTTAAGTTTGCCACCCCTCTGAATTAAAAATAAAGGAGCTGGGTCCCATGGCCCCGGGGTGCTGACCCGGCCACAGTTGCTGCTGCCGTAGCCACCAAGCAGCCTCCAGTGCAGCCTTGACCCAGCCTCGGGGGCTGCATCTTCTCTGCACTTTTTATTAGACCTCAAGATTCGTCTGTTCCTGAATAAATAAAAGCCAGCTCCTCTCTGCTCCTGGGGCGGCTGCAGGGTTCACTGGTGTCGATGGCATGGGCCATCCGGCGGCTTTGGGAGCCCCTCCAGGTCAGTGTGGAAGGGGACCAAGGGGATGGGAGAGGCAGCCCAGCCGGGGCGGATTCCACCGCTAACGGCCTCACCTCAGCCATCCATCCATCCAGGGCTGCAGGCTGACCGGAGCCAGAGCTGGCGCTTCACTCCTACAGGGGCCTCGGCTGGTGTCTGCCCAGAGCAGGAGAGACGGGGAGGCCAGGGGAGGCCAGGGGAGGCCAGGGGAGCCGGGGTCCCTCTTAGAGTGAGACAGGAGCTGGCGCTTCCACTTCCCACCGGGAGCCAAACTGCCTGCTCCGTAGGTGCCCAAGGACTGAAAGCCAGCGCGTTATGATCCCAACCAGCACCTGCCCACAGAGCTCTCTGCAAGGGTGTCAGTGCTCCATATCCGCAGCCCAGGAGCCACCAGCGGCCAGTGCGCCCGGGCAGTGGGCAGGGCTCTGCACTCACGGTGGTAACTTAAATTTAAGCCCAGCGCTGCCTGACCACTCCTTCTACTGTCTTCCTCGCCCTCCCTGGAGACAGTGGATCACCGTGACCTTCCTCCCCAGAAGGCAGGCAAAGGGAAGAGCTACTTCTTAGCCAAAGCTCAAGAAGGCCGATACTTCTATTTTAAATTGACTTTTTTATTCTTTTTAGGTGCATATGACAGCAGAGTGTATGTTGACATAAACACCTGGAGTGTGACCTCTAACTAGCATCCCGTCCTCGTGGTGTGCCCGATGTGGGGTTTCCCGGGTGTGGAGTCAGCCAACTTTTTGTCTCCCCAGCCTTCTCTTATCAGGATCAGCTGGACAATGCCCACTGTCTGCTCTGCAAAAAACCCCCTGTGGTCCAGAGGGGACAGATGAACCAAGGCAACCAGCTAACGGGACATCACAACTGGAGCATCGTTATCCTGCAGCCCAGCAGGGACCACAGGGAGGGGAGGGCTCTTTCCCAGAGGGAATGCCTGCTGAGGTGACATGGAGCAGGGACAGAAACACCGATAGAGAGGTAGTCAGGGCCAGGCAGGGAGCAGTTCGAGCCTGGTGCTCGGGGCTTACAGTGGACACACGGGGGTGGGGGGGGACCCAGGACTCTGTAAGTAAGAGGACTGTGGCCAGGGTTAGGTGGTGGGAAAGGGTTGGGTGGTGGGAGCCTGGCATGGGAGAGGGACTGTAAGTGTCCCCTGGCTGTGTATAGGGAGGGGCTTGTGGCAGGGAGATGGGGTGGGGATGAGGACATCTACGGAGAGACCACAGAGGCTGGACCAGGACATGACCAAGACCCTGAGCAGCCTGCCGGGGTTACTGAGGAGAGGGGGGATTGGCCTGGGGGTGCTGAGGAGGCAGAGGTCAAGGTCGACACTTGAGTACCTAGGGGGTGGCAAGGCTGGTGCTTTAGAGAAGAGAAGGCGGCGCAGGCATCCATGGAGGGAGAGGAGGGAAGGAGGGAGGTGTACGCTGGGGAGCCCAGAGGCAAGGTCCCCAGCAGCAAAGCTTCCACCAGCCTGTCCCGCAGCGGCTCCTCCACAAGGCGGGCGTTTGCCCTCGTGGCCGGGCACGGCAGCTAGCCACCCAACACACAGGCCCAGAGCAGCCCCTCTGTACTAAGGCACATGGCACGGTGCCCTGAGACAGCTGGCGCTGGCTTGGCAGGCCCGCCTCATGGCCCTACTGTCTGCTGGAGTGGTGGCAATTAAACTGCTAGTTGCAGCCAAGTGTCACGGGTGTTAGGCCAACAGCTCCCTGGGTGGGGCCTGGCCAGGCCTGCAGCAAGGCCTTCTTCCTCTAAGAGGGGTGGGAAGGTGGGTGGGGGAGCTCCTCCTGCGTCCGCGTCCCTCCTGGCTCAGACGCCCAAGGCAGAGTATTTCAGGGCAGTCCTTTGGTGGCAAGGGCCACTTACCTACAACAGCCTGGCAGGGGGTGTGTACCAGGGTCCTGTGGCTGCCGTAACCAAGCACCACAAACTGGGGGCTAATTGTTCTGGAGGCCAGAAGTGCCAATCCAAGGTGTGGCAGGGCCAGGCTCCTGGGAAGGCTCTGCGGTGGGGGCGGGGAGGTCTTCCTGCCTGAGGCTGCGTACTCCCACCTCTCCTGGCTCCCACGCGCTTCTCCTCTGCTTTCTTATGAGGACCCTGCCACTGGAATCCGGCCACCCCTAACCCAGGTGACCTATCTTAAGTTCTTTCCACCTGAAAAGGTCTGTTTCCAGTCAAGTCACATTCTGGACCTGACCTTTGGGCAGTGACATCACTCAGTGCAATACTGCGGGCCGATGGTGGGGCTGGGCAGGAGGCCAAAGAGCCCAGAGGTGGGGGAGAGAGGAATGAGCAGACCAGAGACGCACTGGATGCAGAGCAGAAGGCTCCAGGGTCCCGGCTGGAGGTAGGAAGTTCAGACACAGCCCCGGAACTGCGCACCGTGGGAACCGGGCCAAAGGTCGCCCGAGACTGTGGTCCAAGAGGCTGCTGGCAAGGGCATAGGAAGGGGTAGCGGGGTAGCAGGGTAGCGTGGGAGCAGGCCCAGGGCTCGGGAGGGAGCTTTGGCAACATGTAGGAGGGCCAGGATGGGCATCCGGTAGCCCAGCCGAGCCACCTGGGGAACACCTCTGCACATCCACGTGTGTGAGAAGGCTCCTGGCCATTTCCGCAGCAGGGCCCCCCCCCCCCCCCCCCCCCCCCCCCCCCCCCCCAGCGAAGCCCACCAACAAACCCAGGGCAGGAACCACCTCCCCCTGCAGAGGAATGCGGTTTGCTGTCAAAATAAACGAAGCAGAGAAACCCAGCTCCTCACAGCAGAATCTCAAAGTCCCTAGTGTGTAGACAAGCAGAGAGCAGAGGACAGCAATTATGCAATGCCGAAGGTATACAAAGGAAACACAGGCACGGGCAGGCCTGACAAAGACCAGCCAGTTCAGGAGAGTGTCATTGAGGGAGCAAGCGGGGGCAGAGGGCCCCTGGGGCTTTGACCTTAACTGTCCTGTCTCATTGCTTAAATGGGAAGGTGGGTACCTGGTGTTCTGCTCTATTATTCTTTATACTTTTTTATTTTATATTTTGGTACTGGGCATTGAACCCAGAAGCACTCTACCACGAGCTGCATCCCCAGCCCTTTTTAATTTGGGGGACAGGGTCTTGGTAAGTTGCTGAGGCTGGCCTGGAATTTGCGATCTTCCTGCCTCAGCCTCCCAAGTCGCTGGTATTACAGGCGTGCCCCATTGCTCCTGGCTCATCCTTTACGTTTAAGAAATACATCTAATAAATCTATTTCAGAAAACAAAAAACAAGCACAGAAAGTGAGTGAACTTGTGGGTGTCCTCTGAACTGAGGAACCAGCCTGCACTAGAAATGGCCGAACAGGCCTCAAGACGAACGTGGAGGGGAGGTATGAGACGGAGCCCACTACCCTTCTGGGAAAGGGACAGGGTGGAGTCCTCAGTGTCACAGGGTGTGTGACAGAGGCTGGGAAGAGTGGAGGGGTGAATGGGAGCCCCACACGGACAGCTAGGACAGGGAGTTTGGGTCCAGGAAGGACGCCCTGCCTGGACCCCTGTCATGGCCACAGTGTTGGAGTTGGGAGCCAAGAAAGGGTGGCTCCCTCCGGCCGGAGCCCACAGAGGCGGACTGCGTGTGTCAGCAGGCGGCCGTAGGGAACCCAGATCACCGGCTTGCAGCTTGGGGCTTCGGCAAATTATGCCTTAGGCTTCCAAGGCGGCCGAGACGGTGCTGCCAAGTGCTGACGGCACAGAACCGCCCGGTCTGAGCACAGAGAAGCAGCACCCAGACAGAGGCTTTGTCCACGCAGTCCGAGGTGCCAGCTCCGCAAAGTGCCCCTAGCCCACCCCCACCGAGGCTGACCAGCAAGAAGGAGGGAGATGGAGGGGAAGACCAGTCACAAAGCCAAGGGGCCCCAGAGAAAAGGCCCCAGACTACCAAGTGGTTGGTGGACCAGCTTGTCTGGGGGTGGGGGGGAGTGCCGCTTAACCACAATCCTGAGTCATCCAGCAGCCCAGGGGACTCCAGCCAGGGCGTCACCTCCTCTACCCCCACCCCCATCTCACCCCGAATTGCAAGGGCCTCACACACACTGCACATCCACAGTCACCCAGGCCACCCATGCCACCCCTGTTACCGTGGCCACTCCCTGCAGAGAGCCGCCCACAGCCACTCGCAGGCCTGGGGTGGGTAGCACCAGAGCACTGGAGGAGGGACCCGGGAGAGGTCTGTGTTGGCCCTGGAATTGGTGCAGGAGGATGCAGGGTACAGAATTCTGGGACCCCAGGCAGCCAACATGGTCTAGGGCTGTCCATGTCCACAGCCGCTAGCCGCATGCCAATACTAACTGGAAACTAATAGAAAATTAACTAATTAATTCTAAGCAAATGGATGAATAAACTGACAAATGTGTATTTGAAGTGCGCGATAGACGCGTGTGGTTAGTACTCTCCTGGACAGAGCTGAATGAATGGAATGTTCCACTGGACAGAGCTGGCCTCAAAGGGACTGTGGGCTCTGAGGGGCTCGCAGCTCCTCCCCCTGGGGCCGGGGCACAGCTGGGAAGGGCCAGAGTGAGTCCGTCTGGCCCGGGTCTACGGCAGGCCTGATTCATGGATGACTTATCCGAGGGGATTCCCAGGCCCTTCTGTGACTCCGATTCCTCCTGCAGAACAGCTGCTCATGAGGGTGCAGCCCTTGCCTGCTCTGTCTCCATAT